AAAAAAGCACATTCACCAAAATCCCAACAGGTGCACTTGAGAGTGCCATTTTGTATATTGCATATGTTAAAAGAGAACAATCTTACCTTTGCAGCATCTTCGACATGTATCTTTTGTATTATAAGTAGAATTTTTCGACTGCTTGTAGTAATTTATCCGACCTGGAGCATTCAGGCTTGTAGCAATAAGACGATATTATCACCTGAGAATAACATTAAAGGTTAGAGATTATTGAAAATTTACATATATATATTGCCTTACTTGATTATTTTTTGGGTATTTTGGATGCATTTGTATACTGCATGTTTGTTATTATCAAATTTCAGTTCTATACTTATATACTAGGTGCTATCCCTAAGACCAGAATATCCGTACATTTGCACTCAAGGGTGCTTTACTTGATTATTTTTTGTGTATTTTGTATGTATATTGTATATTGCATGGCCATTATTATATTTCAGAGTTCTATACTTATATACTAAGACCTGAAAATCCCTACAGGTGCACTCGAGAGTGCCATTTTGTATATTGAATGGCCATTATCATTATAATTATACATGTATATGCGTATCTTGTATGTATATTGTATTTTGCATGGCCATTATTATTATATTTCAGAGTTCTATACTTATATACTAAGACCTGAAATTCCCTACAGGCGCACCCTAGAGTGCCTTGAAAATGAAAAATTGAAATTGAAAATTGAAAATTGAATATTAAAATTTGAACTTCATTCACTATTCACCATTTGCTATTTATTACTCATGATTGAAAAGGACAGAATTGACAAACTTGCTTTCAACCCTTCGCAGTAGGGATCAGGATTAGGTAAGCAAAACTTAGCGCCAGGGTCCCATATGATCCAGGAGGGTTCGAGATTAGGTAAGCAAACTTAGCGCCAGGGTCCCGATCTCACCTTCCCCATTCACACACTTAGATTGCGGAATAATTATTCAACGCAACAAAGAATGCGGAATGTTTAAGGGACAACATTGAAGAATTGAAAACTTGCTTGGCAATACTGTTTATAGAAGGAAATTGAATTTTGAAATTGAATGAGAAGTTAATGAATATTACCTTGAAATTGAAATTAAATAAAAAGATAAAATAAATACAAATATAAAGTTATTTAGCGCATGTAGGAAAGAACACTACTAAGATCTGAAAACCCCTACAGGTGCACTCTAGAGTGCCTTACTTAATTTTTTGGAAATGTTTGTTTGCTATGTATGTTGTATATTGCATATTGCATGGCCATTGTTATATTTCAGTTATATACTAGCTATTATCCCCAAAACCTGAAAATCCCTACAGGTGCACTTTAGAGTGCCTCACTAAATTTTTTTGGAAATGTTTGTTTCGTATGTATGTTGTATGTTGTATATTGCATATTGCATATTGCATGGCCATTGTTATATTTCAGTTATATACTAGCTATTAACCCCAAGACCTGAAAATCCCTACAGGTGCACTCAGAGTGCCTACTAAATTTTTTTGAAATGCTTGTCGTATGTATGTTGTATATTGCATATTGCATGGCCATTGTTATATTTATTTCAGTTAAATATACGTATTATCCCCAAGACCTGAAAATCCCTACAGGTGCACTCTAGAGTGCCTTACTTAATGTTTTTGGAAATTTGTTTCGTATGTATATTGTATATTGCATATTGCATGGCCATTGTTATATTTATTTCAGTTAAATACTACGTATTATCCCCAAGACCTGAAAATTCCTACAGATGCACTCGAGAGTGCTTGGCGTATTTATTTCTGTATACGCCCTTTTTGTAATGCATTTTGTGTATTTCATGGCCATTATTGTTATATTTCAGAGTTCTATACTTATATACTAAGACCTGAAAATCCCTACAGGTGCACTCTAGAGTGCCATTTTGTATATTGCATGGCCATTATCATTATATTATACATGCATATGCGTATCTTGTATGTATATTGTATTTGCATGGCCATTATTATTATATTTCAGAGTTCTATACTTATATACTAAGACCTGAAATTCCTACAGGCGCACTCTAGAGTGCCTTGAAAATGAAAAATGAAATTGAAAATTGAAAATTGAATATTAAAATTTGAACTTCATTCACTATTCACCATTTGCTATTTATTACTCATGATTGAAAAGGACAGAATTGACAAACTTGCTTTCAACCCTTCGCAGTAGGGATCAGGATTAGGTAAGCAAAAACTTAGCGCCAGGGTCCCATATGATCCAGGGAGGGTTCGAGATTAGGTAAGCAAAACTTAGCGCCAGGGTCCGATCTCACCTTCCCCATTCACACAACTAGATTGCGGAATAATTATTCAACGCACAAAGAATGCGGAATGTTTAAGGGACAACATTGAAGAATTGAAAACTTGCTTGGCAATCTGTTTATAGAAGGAAATTGAATTTTGAATTGAATGAGAAGTTAATGAATATCACTTTTGAAATTGAAATTAAATAAAAAGATAAAAACTAAATACAAATATAAAGTTATTTAGCGCACTACTAAAATCTGAAAACCCCTACAAGTGCACTCTAGAGTGCCTTACTTAATTTTTTGGAAATGTTTGTTTGCTATGTATGTTGTATATTGCATATTGCATGGCCATTGTTATATTTCAGTTATATACTAGCTATTATCCCCAAGACCTGAAAATCCCTACAGGTGCACTTTAGAGTGCCTTACTAAATTTTTTTGGAAATGCTTGTTTCGTATGTATGTTGTTTATTGCATATTGCATGGCCATTGTAATATTTCAGTTATATACTACCTATTATCCCCAAGACCTGAAAATCCCTACAGATGCACTCTAAAGTGCCTTACTAAATTTTTTTGGAAATGTTTGTTTCGTATGTATGTTGTATGTTGTATATTGCATGGCCATTGTTATATTTCAGTTATATACTAGCTATTATCCCCAAGACCTGAAAATCCCTACAGGTGCACTCTAGAGTGCCTTACTTAATGTTTTTGGAAATGTTTGTTTCGTATGTATATTGTATATTGCATAATATGCATGGCCATTGTTATATTTATTTCAGTTAAATACTACGTATTATCCCAAGACCTGAAAATCCCTACAGATGCACTCGAGAGTGCTTGGCGTATTTATTTTTGTATACGCCCTTTTGTAATGCATTTTTGTGTATTTTCATGGCCATTATGTTATATTTCAGAGTTCTATACTTATATACTAAGACCTGAAAATCCCTACAGGTGCACTCTAGAGTGCCATTTTGTATATGCATGGCCATTATCATTATAATTATACATGCATATGCGTATCTTGTATGTATATTGTATTTTGCATGGCCATTATTATTATATTTCAGAGTTCTATACTTATATACTAAGACCTGAAATTCCCTACAGGCGCACCCTAGAGTGCCTTGAAAATGAAAAATTGAAATTGAAAATTGAAAATTGAATATTAAAATTTGAACTTCATTCATTATTCACCATTTGCTATTTATTACTCATGATTGAAAAGGACAGAATTGACAAACTTGCTTTCAACCCTTCGCAGTAGGGATCAGGATTAGGTAAGCAAAACTTAGCGCCAGGGTCCCATATGATCCAGGGAGGGTTCGAGATTAGGTAAGCAAAACTTAGCGCCAGGGTCCCGATCTCACCTTCCCCATCACACAACTTAGATTGCGGAATAATTATTCAACGCAACAAAGGAATGCGGAATGTTTAAGGGACAACATTGAA